ACTATAGCGCTATCTGATGCATTTTTCTACTCTCCTAGGCTCACTCACTTATATAGAGAACCTGAGACTAACATAAGCTCAATGGCGAGTGGATCTCCGGCGGGTAAATCACGAATCATGTAGCTGAAGAGGAAGTGCATGAGATCGTAGGAGGTGGCTTACTCATCTCGTACCCCTCTCTCCCTAGAGGCCTAGCCTTTGTTGCAATCTAATCAGTAACAGGGAGCAGACAATAAGGAAATAGGCGTCAAATTACCAGAATGGCCCAAAAAATGAGTATTGTATTTGTAACCATGGCATTAAATTAGCCTCATAGGCAAACTCTGAAGAAAAGGTAAATTTTGAGATTTCTAGGCAGTAATAGTGGAATAGAACCGTGAATTTGTATGCGACCGTTTTTCAGATGTCAATATTTGTCTACTGAGGTAAGAGGGGCTGACCCAAGCTAACCATGGCGTCCTCTACACTCTGAGCGCCAATGTGAACAGCGGCTTTTGGAAACGCGTGCCCAAATTACCGGACATTTTAGAGCGCTGCCACCGCTGAGGAGGCTGAAGTAAGGCGGTTCACTCCAGGATGACCCCACTGAGCACTTTCGACTACACGGACTGCAAGTAATTCTTCCCAAATTTTTTTTTGCATTTTTCCCAACACGAATGTGTGAGTTGTGATCGCTAGAGATAGCGCTCCACGCCCTACGATTCCACAAAGTTTCCACGCACTAAGATTCAGTTTCCGAAGAGAAACAAACTCCACGAAAACCACATTCTATGGACAATCGAAGGTAAGTCGGCGCGGAGCCAAAGGCGGGGCATGGAAAGAAGTCCGCCTTGGGGCGGCTACGTATCAGGCGACGCAATGAAAGAATCGGGTTAAAGCGTGCGATTTTGGAGAATAGAGACAAAACGATCGATAGAATAGGATGCAGTAGAAGTGTGAGATGTAGTGCAATAAGTCAAAAGGTCAAAAAGAGTTTCTAGTGACAGCACTCCGTGAACCAAGTGGAAGCGTTCCCACCGTTCTTTCGTTCTTGTCAAAAAGGATGGGTCTATAGCCATTGATTTATGGAGTGAGATAGAATCAGGATTTTCCGGTAAGAATTAATTCAGTGCTTTCTTTAGTGGCAGCGAACAGTCACAAATACCTGTCTCAAGTCAAGGGTTTAGAAAAACGTGACTCGATGTCCGGCCTGGAACGCGGATTTTTCGGAACCACTTTGATCCAGCAAAAATTCGCACTTTTCATTTTACTGGAATATGTTCTGATGCGAAGGACGATTTTGGTAGTCAGGGCCAAAACTCACACTCACAGACTTTCTGAGGGAGACGCCTGCGCAGTACACAGCCTTATTGTTTCATCCAAGTACGACAGACTTCAATGACGCTTTGAGGTAGATCTAGCATTTCCGTCATAAGACATAAGCAACGGAAGCTTTATTTCTTAAGTCGTGTTGGTGATCAAAAATTAAATATGGACTTAAACAATGGGAAAACTTCATAACAATAGAACTGTACACTTTGTCGTCAAAATTATGAGCTATATTTCTAACTTGATAATAAGGCATCAAAAATTTTAATTGTGAACAACTAGCACGGATCAACAATTACCACCCAGTCTTAGTTGACAAATGTTCCAACTGCGAGCCAAACAGCTTGATTGACAATCCCGCGCCGACCTGAAGTGTGTGAACTTGGCCTGCATTTTTTTTCGATGGCGCGATGCCAAATTGACTATGAAAGGTCTTTGTAACATCATACGAGCCTTCCACTTGAGGGAGCAATAAAATTACGCTCCATCAGATAGATGTTGCACCAAGCGGTCTATGGGTGGGTGCGAAGTAGACCCGCCAAGAGGTGCAGATGCGATGAGAAAAACGTCCCAAACCCGGCAAAACGGGACCCTTGTTTCCCCGATGTCATCGGCGTTGGAACGAGCCTCATCTGCTACTCATTAAAGTGAATGCTCTGCTACAACGGCTAGATTCCCAGCGGTAGGGGGAGGGGGCAATCTTGGATGTGGACACGCAGCTTAGGCCTTATTTAGTCGCTACAAGAACACCTTCTGCAGAGAAATTTCGTCGTTCTTGTCTCGCTCGTTCCATAGCTGGTGCTTCGACCCGATAAATTATTGTATTGTAACACCTGCCTTTAATCTTATCGAACGAGACCAAAAAATGGGTGGCCTTTCCCACTGCGCCTGTCAACGATGGTTTTCTCAACCAGGCACTCTAGTCCAGTATTGTATTCAGATCTTCGCGGTTCCGAAGTTCTCTAAGCCAAACAATCTTTCTATCATAGTCGGTATCAAGTAAGCGGACCTCCAGCCACTATGCCATATTCCCCGCTAATTTGATACTACATATTTACAAAGAGAATTATGATGAAAAACAGACACTGCTTTGCTTCGCCATTTCCATTTTCATCGCCGATAAAACGAAGAGGTCCTGCTTCACTGAAACTTTGTCGCCCGTTTTTACCTGAACACGGGTATGAATAAAACTGTGGATATATCCTAGACCAGATTGGGTTTGTGACCGTGCCAACTTTCCAAGGTCGTAAATTATAAGGTTCTGAATGGGAATGCGAGAAAAAGGACCAACTTTGATTTCCACAATCCTGCCTTTCATTGGAGCTCCATGATGCATCGGATTACCGTCCTCTGCTTTGGCTCGTTCTCGTTTACTCTTTAAAATAACTGCCATTCATCGAATCAACAAAAAATTGACATTAGGCTTCCCAAATTAAGCAAGGCAACGGAGGTAACGTCTAGAATAGAGAACCCTTTGATAGAAGGGGAGGGCGGGGAGGAGGTAGCGAAGTGAGGGGATCCTTATGGAGAGAGCCTAATGGATATAGTAGAATGATTTTTTTTTCTTGTATAAATTACGCAGTAATAAGAAGATCAGCCCCTCGTTATTCCAATTTCAAAAGTTTTGCAACACTATTTCCAATGTGGTCTTGATACGACCCCTCACCACCACATTAGCGCTAGGGGAGTCCTCCAATGAGACCCCTTCTCCCCTACCCCGACTGCCATCTTTGAAATCCTGTGATGGTAGTTGTTTCTATAGTATTCGATATGGTGATCTGCACGGCCCAACTCAGCCTACATCACTTCAGTAAGGAGTATATACAAAAAGCGGGTGGAAGAAACGACAAACTCTTCTCAACACTTCAGGCTTCTTCACTAGAGTTTCCACCAAGACTGTCAGAAAAAACCCTCAAATTGACACCCCTTGATCTAGTACAATCCACTCAACTTCCAAAAATACCACCCTCTTTTCCTAGCTTTTGACCTTCCAGTAGCCCCCAAATACGACCCCTCGCCGGAAAGAAAAATTCAAACATACCCGACCCCCCTCTGAAAACTGCGCAACGAAGGTGACTCTTACTAACACTACCGTTACTTAGGAAAAAAACGGCACGGCAAATCCACTAGTGACTTGATTTTGAATGGAATATGGTCTTGTAATACCGTAATACAAACCCAGGTTACCCGCCCTTTTCCACTTCCATAGAAAGTAAAACAGAACTAAGGCAATGCTTAGTTTTGGGGACTGACCATAAGTCTGTTCCAGAGGGGAAGACTTCTTGGAGCGCCAGCAATTTTTAGGTTTCCGAAGTTCTCTCCTTCAAAATTAGTCGTACGTACCCATACCATCACGCTGCTGCGTGGCCCCTTCAACTACAGCGACAATGTCCAGCAATAAATGACGTTTGATGAGGGATTGTCATGGAAATTGCTCATTGGGATTTTCAAATATTCAAGCCAATCTTATTTATTTTTGCTTGTAACTGATACCTCGGCATATTCCCTGTCATCAACGAATATGCTACGCTCTTGGCCGTTGTAGTCGAAGTGAACCTGGCGGCGTCCGCTGTCGTCAATCTCTCCAATGCTGGTTAGGCGAACGTATAGCAGCTTCCCGTACTCCAGTTCGATCTAGACACGCACTTTTATATGTGGAAACAAGGGAATGAAGTCGAAGAAGTAAGAAG